GGCGAGACCCCAGGTGCAGGCTGTGTAAAGATGCCCCAGAGACAATCCAGCACATAACAGCAGGGTGCAAGATGCTAGCAGACAAGGCATGGAACGCCATAACCAAGTGGCCGGCATAGTATACAGGAACATCTGTGCCGAGTATAACCTGGAAGTCCTGAGGTCAAAATGAGAAATGCCCCCAAGGGTGGTGGAGAATGACCAAGCTAAGATCCTGTGGGACTTCCAGATACATACGGACAAAATGGTGGTGGCTAACCATAGTGGTGGTAGACAAACAGAAGAAGACGGCCGTAGTGATCGATGTAGCGGTTCCGAATGACAGCAACATCAGAAAGAAGGAACAGGAGAAGCTCGAGAAATACCAAGGGCTCAGAGAAGAGCTCGAGAAGATGTGGAGGGTGAAGGTAACGGTGGTCCCAGTGGTAATTGGAGCACTAGGTGCAGTGATCCCCAAGCTAGGCGAGTGGCTCCAGCAAATCCCGGGAACAACATCGGAGATCTCTGATGGAACGACTAAGATACTGCGCAGGACTGCCAAGCTTTGAGGCCTCTGGTAGAGGACCCGAGCTTGAAGGATAGACCACCCGCAGGGGCGAGTGGGAAATATACCTATTATACTTACCTACTAAAATATCTCTGTTAAAGCTTTTTACTCGATAAAAATCATGATTAGGAGCGTGTTGTTTAGCCGGCTAGCTGATCCTCTGTTCAAACTGCCGTTTGCTACTACACTTTTCTCCAATGTCTTGATTAAAATAAAACAAAAATTATAGGTCACTGAAACAAATACATTTTGCTGGGACTTACATACCTCACCTGAGGTATGTTAGGCAAAATAACTTTAATACTGTACCTTGTTTAGCCATTGAACATTCTCTACATCAGTGTATTGCACCTTTTGGGAAAAAACAAAACATAAAGTCAGAGATACAAGTGGGTCTGGAATCAAATTTTCAATTAATACTGTCTGTACAACACAGTGAGTATGCAGAATGATGTTGAAAATGTATTGGTGTCATTAAATCTTAATAACAGATCATAAAAACTTTCAAATAAAATGAAAAAAATTAAATGATTCCAAGAGTGGTGGAAACAACTCAAAGAAATAACCCCGATAGTTCTCATTCAACAATATTTAGGGTATTTTTTAATAAAATGGATATGGAGGATAAGCATGGTATAATTTATTTTAAGTCTTACAAAAAGTTGCATACAACTCAACGTACATTTATTAAGACTTCTGTATTTAAATGGAATTGTACATGAAGTCAAACTTGTAATTTAGATTTAAATCCATGAAGTCTGTCATTATCAGCAGAAGCATCTTCTCTTTCTCCTATACATTTTGAAATCCTGTGACATAAGAAGAAGCTTATCTTATTTTCTATCACCTCTCTTTTTTTCCCCCACAAGTCAGTTAAATACATTTGATACCAGGTTGTTGAAATGCTTTAAAGCAAAGCAGCATACACAGATCGCCCCAATAAAAATGCCCATCAACTGTCTCATTTTGTACACATATTAATTCATTACATACCCAGGACGCCATTTGTAAAGCACTTTTCAGCTCGGTGTTGACCACATCACTGTCCGCTAACTCCATGGCTGATCCAATTCGGGCGTCCTTCCACTGGCCATTTTTCTTCCAGTAAGTGAGCACAAACATGCACAGCAGTACCCAGCTGATACTGAGGCCCAGATAACCTGTCAGGTACACCGGGTAGAAGATGAGCATGGCTCTTCCGCAGTAAATCAGGAAATCAATTAATATTTGAGTGATAGCTGAGGAGCTGAACATTTTCACGCGGATCAATGGACTCTCCCTGGACCTTGCTCCTTGTGCTGGGTTGCTTGGAGGCAACTGTCCGGTGGATGCCATCGGGTCGTACTCCCCGTGAGGACCAGTTGCCAAACGTTCAGCAAACCTATTTTGGATCAATGTCTGAACAAATGAGTTTTCTTGTGTCTTACTTTGGTTTAAAGAGTAGACAAATCAGTCTACTGCACTCACTCAGCCACCATCGTAATCCAAAAACATTCGTGTTGAAACTTCTTGAGTGCAGGTAGGCGTACTTGGGGAGGGGAATGTGGAGAATGTGTTCAGCTTAAAAAAAGATGAATTGCACTGTAAACATAATTTTGAACAACAACATCATGTGTGACTTTTATAGATGCAATTTAATTTAATAAAAGTTTACATTTTCACATGGTGTGTATCCTGTTGTGCAATTCAGGAGAATCACATACAAAGTAGTATCTGCTCTGATGGAGTCTGTCCTGCAGATGGAGGCAGAGCGAAAATCAGAGTCTCACTTGAGTAAAGCTCAGTGAATAAGAGCTGGAAATCAGTCTTATTTGAACTTTTATTACATTATGGAATCGAGTAGCTGAATACCATTTCAAGACTTTTGCACTATATTACATTAAAAAAAAAAAACTCAACTCAAATGTCACCCAACTCCCCCAGCTCACTCACAAAGAACCATCAAAGGATATGCTCACAAATGTGAACACCTGTCTACCAGTATTACTGAAACCACTGAGCTCATATACAGCACTGCCACAGCAATCCCAGACTTATATATAAAATAAAAAAAGCATCTAGAGGAAGGTTCTAATAGAGAAGAAAGTTGGAAGCTGAACTCGGGGAAGCCAGGGAGGATTTTATAGTTGGCTAACTGAAATGCAGCAGGGTGTTATGAAAAATGAGACCTGGATGAAAAAGGTACAAAGAGATATCTGTAATCGAGACTCTAGAAACTGCCAAACAAAGGCTCACAGATCTGGCCCCAAGGCTGAAGAGATACAGCAGAAAAGCAGAGGCCAAGTTCTTCATCTGGGAAGGAGATGCCTGACACAACAGCAACAAGTGGCTCATGGGCCCAAGAGCAGCAACCTCCCAGAGCAAGAGCCAGTCAGCATCACAAAGGCAGATTTCCAACAACTCCAGAATGAAAAGCTGTAGGATTTTTTTCCACCCAATGCCTCCCTCTGGAGGTTTTATATGATACTGCATAAAAATTAAGAAATGCAGTAAATATCTTTCAGTCAGAAATGATACTTAGAGACTTAGAGCTTTTTATTGTCATTGTGCAGTTTCTTGCACAGTGAAATTGGGTAGATGGACCACAAAGGTGCAAAAGTAAGAAGAGAAAACAATATACAACAAGGGGGAAAAATAATAATAAAAAGCAATATATATGTATACATATATGTGAGTGAAACTATATACATAGTGTATGCATAAGAAACATTGTGGGTCTGCATACAAGGGCAATTATAAAATATAATAAATAAATAAGGGTGGAGGGGCTATGGTCATTTAAGGTGGAGATGGTAATTCTACTGAGACCAAAGTACTGCACAAGACCAGAAAATATTGCACATACCAAAGATACTGCATATGAGCCCAACAAATATTGCACAGAACATGGAAAGATTGAGATATTGCACATGGATGATCAATAGCAGTGTCAGAGTGGATGTGTTGGACAAGTCTATAAGAGTTCTGACAGCCATCGGGAAGGAGGTGTTCTTTAGTCTGTTTTTGCACCTGATGGATCTGAACATCTCTCCACCACCTCTTCAACATCCCACCCAGAGGGTGGGATGTTGAAGAGGTGGTGGTTAGGATGGAGGTGGTCCTGTATACTTGCCCTGGCTCTGGAGAGACATCTTGAGCTGGCAATTAAGTCCAGGGAGGGGAGTGGACCGCCTTTCACCTTCTCTGCATACAAACCTTAATGTCCTTTCAAATAATTTTTCAAGCACTTATATATCAAAGCTTGCATATCATGAATAATATGAAAGAGCTGTGTACAATAGTGTTGGAGTGATTGTTTTTAAAGGCACTTCAGTTTCCCTCAGTTTTGGCCTGCTGAGTCATTGTTCAGGTAGTGTTCAACACAAATTGAATAGACAGCGATGATTAAAACCTCGTGCAAGATGGTTTAGAAGGGGCATGCTGTATCAGAAGAAACAGACAGCTGTAGTATTTTGAACGTACCTGTGTTAACCCTGGTTTAACACTCACTTACATGTGTTAAACTATCTGTAAAGGTTCATAGTTATCATAAACTCTTTAGAGAAACTCAGCGCCGTTGCTAGGTAATCAATTAACTCGCCCTAACGCCTGTGAACAAGAGGACCCACGCGCATGTACGCTTCAACTGCTTTTCCTCTTCGGTGTTATGTTATTTTTAACTAAACAGGATCACAAATCACCTCAACAGGAACGCCTGTTTAGATTAGCAAGCCGACTCTGTATATGTGGTGGTACTGCCCCCTAGCGACTCTTTCCCAGAGTACAGTCAGCGTTGACTAGTAGTTTTGTAGTCTATCACTCATATAAGAGCATATGGAAATTGCAAACAGTGCGAGGAATATAATAAGCAATAAAATAGCAATACAGTGGTCCCTCGCTATAACGCGGTTCACAATTTTGCACGTTTTTTTTTCTTTACTGGAAAAACTAACTACAAAACACTGTATGATACTTGGAACCTGGAAACATGGAGGGACACAATCAGACAAACCAACAACAGATAAAGGAAGACAGAGGGCAAAATACACAAGAGGGTAACGAGGGAAACAGGAACAGGGAACACAGCTGGGACTAATCACACACATGAGACAGGGAGAAAGTGAAACAGAATAGACGAACGCAGGACTGTCAAAGTAAAACAAGAAATTCACAAACATGGAAACTAGGGCGACCAGGCATAACACAAGGAATTCAGGGAGGCACAGTAACAAAATCTAAAGCCTAGAAATCACAAAATACAAAAGCTAACTTAGGGAGCTACAAATACAAAAGACTAAGCCACGAGAACCACAAAATAGAGAATATTCACCAGACCCAAGATCATGACACTTACAATCTTTATTTTTGGATATGCATATTATCTACCATCACACAAAATTTGAAAAGGATATCTTGGAAAGCTTTGGGCGCTAGACTGCTAATAAACAGACTAACAAACGTGACTGATTACATACTCCCTGCGTTCATGGGGGAGAATAGGGACTCTATAGCCCCAGCTGGTCATCTGGGAAGCTGCCTGAAGAGATTTATTCTTTTCACAATCACACTCTCACACTGAAATGATGTCAAATCAACCATGTATTAGTTTGAAGATATTTATTTGCCATAAATATGAATTGAAAATGAATGTCCCTTTTAGCTTCAGCTCAAAAACAACAACTGGGAACAGCTTCCCTGCTCAATAATTAATGTAAAACAGAAAAACATCAAACTATTAGCCAAGACAAAGTCTTTATCCACTATAGATCTCTGGTAGTTCTACTAAAAATATTCTGCCACCATTTGTAACAAATTTACCAACTACAATTGAGATTTTTTTTAAATAATACATAAATACAAAATAAAACCCTTTCTTTAAAGTGTTTATGTCGAACCTCTGATTAACTACTTAGCTCAGAACTGTAGTCCTTCATAAAGAGAATGACGGCGTACTGAGATGTTATTTTGAATGGTCTGAGAGGATTGGCTTTAAAAGGAATGACATCCTATTGAGTCAGTAACTGAGGCCAACGAACTTGGCTTGTGCCCTTCTTGGATGCAGTTTTACTTCCAATGAGCTGCAGAACAGCTCAGCTGCCTCGATGTAAAATCTGCTTAGTGGGACTTCGTGCATTTCAGTGTTTATCAAAGTGTGTAATCCTTCCTCACCATGCACTCACTCATCTACATTGCTGTAACAAACATTTGGCTTTTACCTGATTTCCCCCAATATATATACACATAAAAACTGTCAATAAATCTATTTACAATATAACACTAAAGATGAACTTTGGTTCAGATGAAATAACCAAAATATAGAAAAAAAAAAAAGCACGCACACACACAAAAATAAATCTTGGTTTGCTGTGTTTCGGATGAGTAAGGAGTATGAACGTCTGTCATTTTCTCTGCAGCGGTTGCAGCAGCAGCTTTTCAAGCTGAAGTTTCTCTCAGTTGTACATGCTACACTCACTTCTTCAGCCCGGGTAGAGTGAGCTCATACCTTCAGAGAAAAGAAATATCGGA